ATGTTTCAAATGTGACATATCAGAAGTTGAGAAATGGGAATGTATACTACATGCATTTTAATTTCTCGATATGTCACTGTCGGACGACAGTTGTTGGCTGTAGGACAACGCTCGTCTCTGTGTTTCAAATGTGACATATCAGTAGTTATGAAATGGGAATGTATACTACATGCGGTTTAATTTCTCAACATGTCACTGTCGGAAGACAGTTGTTGGCTGTAGGACAACGCTCGTCCATGTGTTTCAAATGTGACATATTAGAAGTTGTACCTGTGGTTTAATTCCTCAGTTTCTTTACTTCAGACGACACTTAATATGCTGCCTACAACAGTTCCTTGGTCAACGGTTTTAACGATTTTATGGTTATAACTCTTTCATAACTGAAATCATCCTTTCATGCTGGAATAATAATTTATTGTTTGAATGTTATAATTAGGATTAAATTGTTTTGAAATCATTGGAAAAAATGTCATGTAACATTGATAATTGTTATTCCGATTTCGCTGAGTTATTGTAAATGAAATTACAATAACTTGAAACATTCCCTTTGAACCAGGATATTAAAAAGAGAGACGTTTTATGTGAACACGATTTTTCTTGTTCAGACCTTTTCAGTTTTCTGGAAGTTAATCAGTTTTATGTTGTCTTGTAGTAGAAATGCTTATTCTAGAGATACATTTTTTAAATTTTTTCAGCTTACGTTTCTATTTCTTTAATTAAAAAAATACATTTAAGGTAAGAATGCCTCTACCTGCTAGCCTTCTGCCATCAAGGCAGACAATTTAAAAACTGTCAGATGTTCTCTTTTTTTTTTACCCATAATTAAGCCAAGCATTTGAAGTTGTTGTAGGTTGTTTTTGTTTAAGCAATTACTTATACGCGCACACGCACACCCACCTACACGCCGCTACGTACCTTTGATAAATATTGTAACTTTGTTTATTAAATACTAATTGTATCGTCTTTCATCATGGGTCACTAAAAAAATGTATTAATTTAGGTATTGCAATCATTAAATTAAAAAAGTAAGTTTTAAAAATTAATTAAAAAATTAACACGTGTAGAAAAATAAAGTTCTGTCGTTTACTCTGGTTTTCAAAACAAAATACTATTCTTTTGTAGACAAAGAAAAGTAACTTTGAAAAGAAACACAAAGACGAACGTACAAATTACTGTCCAAAGAGCTATTGCTTTGATTCGATGATTTATGAACTAAAACAAAAGAGGGATTTTTTACTTCTCGGAAGAAAATTAATCCAAGAAAGACAAAGTGTTTCATGTAAAATTTCTTAGATTCACTCTGAAGAGGTTACTAAACATTCTTCCTCTCCACTATTTATTTTTCAAAATTCAGTTAATGAAATCGTCAAAAGCCGTTTACGGTTTAAGCTACCTACAAGAAAGTTTTTTTTTTTTGTTTTTTGTAGTGTTAATTTCTCTATTATTCAAACGTCAGGACGTGCTATCTAAACTGCGCGTCTATGTGTGTGTATGTATACGTGTGAAATTGGCCATAATGCTATAAACTTTAAAGCTTTATATTTTGTGACTTTGTCCCATTTCCTGGTCCAGATGCGCTCATGACCAGTAGATAATAATACTAACGAGAGAAAAAAATGTTTGTAAATTGAAATCGATTTATGAAGCTATAAAAAACATACGACTGAAATAAAACATGTGTGAGTACGTTAGCAAATAGAAAAAGATGAACCAAGTCGACAAATTACTACGAAAGATGTTCTTGGATTTGCTTCGTGATTTATTGAGGCAATGCCGCAATTCTATAGTTTTTTTTTTCCAGCAATGCTAGTAGTTTGTGTTCAAGCCCAGCCAAAGTGCCTTATTCTGCGTTGCTGAATATTGTTAACGGTTGACGCAACACATTATTTGTTCTTACGCCAGGTTTAAAGTTTCAATCTTCACACTTCATCTTAGCTTCCTCTGCCATTACGTTATATTTTTACGAAACCTCGTTAGAACTTTTTTTTAAAAATGTGTCATGAAAAGTCAAGTTTAATAAATAAACCAAACCAAATTTACAACACGCAATCAGCGGCAATCACTATTTTTATAATTATAAATATTTCCTATTTTCTTTTGATAATATAAGGCTATAAGAAGCGCTTTTTTATTTTTCTGATCATAATTTGCTTTTATTTCTTTTATTTTCCTATATCAAATCACCATTTTTACATTTCTTTTAGTATTTCCGATCTCTCATTGATTCATTCAGAAAAATGTATGCTTTCCAATTCTATTATCAACAGTTATGTTGCAAATTAACCTCAGCGTTTGAAAGTCGCAGGGTTACCACGGTAATGAGTTTTCCTTATATTTTATCCCCCAGTTGTTTGACAATGCTCGTAGAGAGTGAAACGTTAACAAAAGAAAAAAATTAAACATCCAACTGATGTTCACGTATTCCATCTCAGTACAATCAAATGTGCGTATGTGGTTTTATCTAAGGTTTTAAGAGTCTTGTGCTGGGCTAAAAAAGTGATAGTCGAAATATGAAATAAAAAAAAAAGACACGAAAAAATTAAAAAAAAAAACGTGAATCGTGAAATAAAAGAACATAGGTGAAAATTAAAAATGAGAAAATTGTTTGAGTAAAAATATTGTAAAAGAAATTTCGATGTAATTCAACACCTAAGTATTTAAAAAAATGTGTATGGTATTTCCTAACCACACTGAAGTGACAACTATTACAGGCCAACTTCATGGATGAAGTTGAAGTAGCTCGCGTCCTTTCCTACTGGCGACAGCGATCGATGTTCGAGCCCAGGTAATAAGCCAAAATTTCATAATGTTGATTTTTCAAAACAGGCAGGTTTGACCTACTTGAAAAATTGGCGAAAAACACCATCTTCTGAACATATACTTTTTTTTTTTCGTTAGAACCTGTCATATAATTTGTTAAAATTAAAAAATCTAACAAAGTTGATCCCAAGTGTTAGTAAATCCGGGATAGTCATTTGATTAACATCATTAGCAAATAAAAACACCAAAAAACACTAGATAAGAAATCGGAAGAAAAGTAAATATTTTCTCGTACCAATACAAACAAAAGTAGATGAACAAAACTAATAAACATAACACTAAAAATGCTAAAAAAAAGTGTCAACTCAAATGTAAATCACTTTAATTTAAAAAAAAATGTAAGGACTTTTTAATGACATTTTAAAAAAACAAAATTTTAGTAACTGTAATGCCGATGGTAATAAACGACTAAGGGAAAAATCTCTATAAAAATAAATTATTTTGAAATCGTAATAAAAATCTTTTACTTAAGTTTTCAGTTAAAAATGTTACTTATCTCGCAATAAAGAGTATAAAAAAACTAAAATAAATCTATTTAACAGTCTGTATTGGTAATAAATAATTCATTTAGTACTAAACTACACAAACTATTTAAATTCTATCGCGCAAAAGTTAGGATCCATGGTTTGTGTGTAGCATTTTTTTTTAAACAACAAAAAATACAAATGTATGGCATTTTTATTCGTATTTGTAGAGATCTGAGTTTTACTTTTGCTGGTGTTGAGTGGTTGTTGTGGTGATTCTGAGAATCAATTAGTTAGGAAACATTTAACATCATAGGGTGTATTGTACTTTAATGTTAGTAATCAGGATTATGCGAAGAACGATAATAATTGTATTTAATTGCATCAAATAAGTTTCAACGTAATTCTTATCTGAAATCTAGCTCCATTTAATGCTAACAGCTTGCTCTCAAATTAAATTCAGATTATTTACTAATTTAAAAAAAAAAAGTGAACTTGGGGCTAACGTAACTGGTCCCTAAAGATAAGACTAAGTAAGAGAAGGAAAGAAAGTAAAAAATGGCCCTTGCCTCGCTTCCATGATTTAAATGGCCCAGCAGAACCACAGTGCAGTCCAAAGTTTTAGGAAGCACATCTCTAACCAAAAAAGTCACGTACTGGTGAAAGTAAAAAAAAGAAACAATAACGCTAACACAACAGTATTAGTAATAGTATCAATACTAATAATTCTCATGGAATTGTTAGTCGGAATTAGTGATGATGATGATGATACTGCTGTTTTCAGAAGTAATGGTGGCGAAGGTCACCGAATCACTTGTAGTAGCAGAAATTTTATTATTTTAAAGGAAAATAAAGAAATTTTGTGTAGAAGTATAAAAAATATATTAATAAATAATAGTTTTAAAAAAGATGATAAATCCAATTAACGAACTGTTCTATGCAAGGTACACGATTTCGTATGAACCAATGAACACTGGAAATGTATATTTGTGTCAAAATATATTTAAGAGCACGTGTACTACAATGTTCTCAAAAACATTGAAATTGGTTATTCACCTTATGGTGGTGTGTTTGTGCATGCACAAATAAATACATATGTATTTATTGCAATTTGTATTATTTGCCCTGTTTTTATTAACTTTATTGTGTAAAACATGTAGTCTTTTTAGTTTTTAATTATCTGTGTCACTGTGGATATGAATTGATTGATAATGTGTGTGAGTGTGTATGTGCTCCGTTTTTTAAAGTATAGAAGTAGTAATAATTAAGTGTTTTTATTTTATTTTGCTTTTAAGTAAAATATGTATTTTAACACATGCAATTACTGCGTAAAATTTATGTGAGGCTCCAGAACAAAGATAACTGATTATGTGTACGACTGCATAATTTAATTTAGTTGTCCGGAGTCCGTGTAAAATTGTTAAACTGAATCTTCGGTCGGTAAAATGGGTTATGCAAAAAATCAAAAATGTTTCAAATTTCAATATGTGTAACGAATTGTATTTTCATAAAATGTGTATTGCTGTATAAATTGTGGATTATTTGTGTACATTTTAAAATAAGTTTTTCCAATTGTAAGTATATGTATGAGTACGCCTGTCTGTGTAAATGTGCTTTTCCTTTAGTGTGTGTGTGTGTGTGAGAGAGAGAGTTATTGCTGCTGCTGCTGGCCAACACAAAATAGACTCACGTTGGAAATGAAAAAAAGAAAATGTAATGATTTCTCTTCCTCCTCCTCCGATTGACAATCCACCTCCTCCTCAGATCCTCAACTCTCCCTTTCTCGAATTATCCTCACCTCGCCCTCGTAAACACAATCCTCCTTCTACAAATCAATCTCTTCTTCAAACACTCTCCCTCTCTAACTTTATGTTATAATAAATCCCTTTCTTTTTCAAGCATTTTTCTTTTACCGCCCCCTCTCCATTCGTCGGCCTCTTTCTCTAATATCCAATACAATCCTACTTTTGTCATCTCTTCACTTTCTCTATAATAATCCACTCGCCAAATTCTCTCCTATCTTTGTGACAATATACAACCTCTTTTTAGTTTCCTTTTTCTTTGTCAGCTTTGTGAATTTTCCAATTCTCTGTCAATTTACAAAAATATCTTCTCTTCAAATTTTACTCCCCAAAACACTTTTTTTCTCTTTATTCCATAGACTTACTACTCCCATTATTTTACCCCTTAAATATAGTTTGCCCTCTTCCTCCAAGATTTTTTGTTTTCCTTTTTCTCTAATAATCCCTCTTGTTCTCAAATGCCTGTCTAATAACAATTTTCCTCCTCCTCTTTAATTCCAATTACATTCCCTACCCCAATAGCTTTCCTCACATAAGTATTACACCTAAGCAAAAAATTTACGTAAGTATACACACGCCTTCTCCCTAAAAAACCTTTTCTCCTTTCTTCATCAACCCACCTCCTACTCAACTACGATACCCCCCAACAACCTTTTACAAACCCACCGACCTTATCCACAATCGTTCTTTCTTCAACGCTTACAACTTGTATCTTCTACAGTCAGGATCACACACTTATACTTAGCTTACATCATAAACATATCAGATACATATGTGCACACTCCTTTTTATCTCCTCTTCTCATTTAATTCATCTTCTCTTTTGTTAAGTCGCACGCCCCTTCACAATTACCTTCCTAAATCCACCTTAATTTTTTTTAATATATATACACTCGTATAATATTTAACATATACGTACACATTTTTCTTCGCTCATAAGCCCACCTCCTACTCAATCATTCTTCCCATCTCCACCTTCCTTTCGAAAACTACCTCCTCCTCAAGTACTCTGTAACCCCCTCCTTTTTAACATACTTTTTTTAAATACACATCTACACGTGTTAACAAAAACATTTACATACACAATCTCACACAAACATATACATATATCTTTCCCCTCTCGCAGTACTCTTCTTCACGTACGAATCCTCCTTCTCAAACACATCCACCCCCCGTACACCTTTACCCTAATATTGCTACACAATAAACACATATCCTTAACCAACGAACGACTCCCCCTTAAGCTTTTCTATGTTCCTCTGACAATCTAACTTCTGAGGTACTTTTCTTTTCTTCGAGACTTACGTATAGTCAGTTCATTTACAATTTACACGTATATTCGTACGCATACACCTCTTCCTGATCTAACACAATTCTCCTCCGTTCACAAATCCACTTCCTCCTCCGTTTAAAAACTTTACTCCTCCTCAAAGCACTATCTTCCCCCTCCAACACATGCTTACAATCACTCTCACACACGAGCCTCCTCCTCCTCCTCTAATACTTTCTTTCTCCACCTTCGTCTGACAAATCACCTCCTCCTCAAGTACTCTCCTTCCTCCGCCTTAATTAACTCTACCGCTTCCCTCACGCTATATCCCTCTCTGTTATTAACTTACTACTCTTTTACCCACTCTCTAACCATCTCACTTCTAGCTTACTCACGTACCCTCTCTCTTTCGCCCTCCCTTTTTACTTTTTCTCTCCGTTACCCACGTTTCCCCCTCCCCCCACCGCCGCCATCACAGCCGTCCGCTCACGCATACACGTATAGACTTACACATATACACAATACACGACCACACACATATACACAAAGCAAAGCAGTGAGAAAAAGAGAAAGAACAGTGTAAGGCTAAAAAGAGTTTATAAGTAGTAGTACGGTTGATTGGATGTATTCATGATCGTAGTTTTCTGGCGCAATTTTAACTGATTTTATTTTTCTATGGGGGACATCATTTATTCCCCTTTCTCCTCCTTTTATCTATGGCGTCCGATGTTTTTACTCTTGTTACTGTGTTGCTTACTGTAGCCCTTTCGAGAGCCGCTGAAGGTAAGTAAGTCAATGACCACTAACTGCAATGGTGGACTTTTTTTTTACTTACTTACGATACATGCCTTCTCTGTCTCATTCATGCATACTTCTGGCTACACTACAGATGATAATTTCACACCACTTCTAGGAAGTCTATTTTTTTGTGTTGTTAATTTTTTTTTCAATTCTTAATATTATTCATCTTTTCTCTGTGTTTACATCCCCTACCAAAGTATTCAACCCACCCGTGTGTATTTTCGTAATATTAACATAGTAAACAGAAACGTGTGTGTAATTGCATGTGATCACATGTGTTGATGCATAGCCGTCACTAAAACCATTGAGAGATGTTTTATATACACATGTAGATATGTCACTTGATCGCTTAAACACTGATACAGTTTAAAAAAAAAACTATAAGAATTTCTACGTTAGATAGAAATAAAAACACATGTGGCCCATTTCTACTTTGAATCGGGAAATGTACCCTACTGTGTTTAGTTATTTCACTGTAACCACAAAAAAGTGTGTGTGTATGATTTACATTAAAAACCATATCCAGTAATATGAATGTATAGATAAAATTCGATACACGTGTGTTTAGTAGTGTTTCTTTTTTATTATTACCATCAGAATTGTAGATAAAAGTACATACAGACAAGAAACATGCCCATGTCTAGTAGTTAAAACACATTTGGTTCCATTTCGTACATTAAACAAGTGGTGTTTCTGTTTATATTATTACAGCTATTTGAGAGCAAAGTCTTTGTTTGTGTAACGTGCATGTGTAAATGAAAATGTGTCTGCATTGAACTTAAACTGCTCCTGAAATTGCACTATTGTGTTACACTACAGTACACTAGTAGTTTCGATAATACTGATTAAGAGAAAGAGAGGAATATGCCGTTGTTATTATTGTCATTATTATTATTATTATTACACTACACTACATTATTTATATAGGCAAGTTTATATGTACTTTCAAGCAATGAAAACATATCTTCTATTTATGTTCACCTTGATTTGTGTGATTTTCCACTTAGTGCGTAACGATCTTTCCTTCGTGTTCACATGTCTACATTTTTGTATATTCAAGTTATATTTATTTATTTATTTTGAAATATTTTATTCACTCTACCATGTGTAGATAGACAGCAATGCTTTTTTCATCATTCGTTGCCTAATTGAAACATCCATGCGTTTTTTAACTGTACACTACAACTCCAGATGTCGATTGTATATAAATTGTACATTTCTGTGTTACATACCACACGTCCTTTTTTTTTTTTTTTTTTTAAAAAAAAAAACAACTAAATAGTAGAATCACAATTAAAGTTACTAATTGTTTGAAAAACAATCCTTTCTAAATTAACGGATTTAATTCACCTCTGAAAAAAGACCTCGACTTCCGATCTGTCCATGAATCATAATAACACAAAATTTAAAAGAACCTTTTTTATCGTTGATGATTGTTTTTTTTTTTTTTTTTTGTTTGTTTTTATTTTACATGTCATTCAGTTGTAAAATCTGTAAAAACAATATTTTGCAAGATATCCTTTAATTTTTGCCTTACTCTTCTCATATAAGTTTCCAATAATAAAACATATTTGTCAAAAATTAGAATCTAAAAATAATGTTATTAAAATTACACTTTTGAGATTTAAAATCATATACTGTGTGAATAAATAAAAGAAATTCCAGTCTAAATAAAAGCCACTAGAAAACATTCACGTGTTATTGTATACGTTTTATTTAAAAACGAGACCTTGAATAAGTTCCAATTTAGCAGCAACTACAAAAGACGAACCTAACAAAAACTGGCATCGACGAAATACGTTTCTTTCATTGCATAAAAAAAATAAAAAAAAAGGTCGACAAAACAATCTAATTCCCCCCCAAAATCACAATCTGATCTGTTGTTCTATTATTGTTATTGTCTTTTCTTTTCTTTTTTTTTTTATCCATCGTAGTTATGTAAACTTTTGCTGCATACACAGACTTCATTAATAATACCACGCAATACACATGAATCCTTACAAAATAAATTAAGGCTCACTTTTTCATACAGTCGTTCGTGTGTATTTCATAAGCCATCGTGTTTTATTTAAAATGTATCGGTTACATGCAGTTGGAATATAAATTTGTTTCTACACTGTATGTTCGGAAAATTTCCCATTTTATTCATGCTTATGTTCGGAGTAAAAAAAAAAAAAAAAGAAATCATTCCAGTGGAGAAGAAAAAAAGATTGTTGTTCACGCACGTGAATTACTTAGAAATATTTTTCCTGCTTTATTTTGATCAACGGGAATCCTTTTTTTTTTTTTTCTTTGTTTGTTGTAATGATCTCACTATCTTTATTGTTGTATATTTTCAAAGAGCAAGCCTTTAAAAAAAAAATGGAAATCGGGGTCTATATGGATTAATAAATTGATTAATAATTGTACTCATGTACTCGATCTACTAAAATCCCTTTTTCACTCTTTGTTACCATCCTCCCAACTAAAATTTTTTTTTTTTTCATTACATAGTGCATATAAGCATTGATTGATGATTGTTTTGTTTCGATTTCTTTTTTCGTGCATATTTTTTTTATATTCAACGGCTTTTTTTCACTAATTTTCTATGAAACTTAATTACACTTTGTCTTGTTTACTCTCTTGACAAAATATTTCCTGCTTTGATCAAAGAAAAGCTCAGCTTCCCAAAATAGGAAACATTTCAAAACCTGTCTTTTAAAAGTAAAACCCTAATTTTCTGTTAAAAACTGTCTTATTTTGGATGCTTAGAAGAAGCTGCTCGAAGATTAAAATTCTGTGTTGAAGGATGCTAAAATTCAACAGCAACATAAATTCTTAATTTTTTTTTTTACTACGACAATGCGGCTTATTTCTACACTTAAGGAAAGGTGCATTTTCTCTAAAAATCGAACAAGTTAAATTTCAACGTCCTATAATCTTTGTCATTTAGATTTGAGAAACTTGATAAGTTGTTAAGGTTTAAAAACTTGTGTACTATTGCTTTCTTACGTGATGGACACACTAATTAAAAAAAAAATTACATAAATCAATTATGATTTCAATAAGATTTTCGGTATATATGAACTTATAAAAAAAAAGAAAATTTTGTAAGAAAAGCTTGTGGAAATAATTTGGTATGTTAATCTCTAAACTTCCATTATTTAATTTTATCAAATCTTAACATCCTAATAAAATTAAAACTTCAAATAAAATATTGCAGTACCTTTTTAAAATTGTTTTTAAAAGGCCGTAGAGGTACTTATAGAAAGTTTTCGGCTACAGGAAGATGCGAAAGTTAAGAGAGCCGGACACGCTGAAAATGGGTTCAATTTTCGTGCTGCTAGTAGAGTTGGCTACACAGTAGTAGAGAAAGGGGTCTACAAAAGAATACATCCCACTCTCTTTCTCCTAAATAGATGCACTAAGGTTTGTAGACATCGTTGGGTGTGTAGTGCAACATTGGCATCAGGAGCAAAATATAAGGTGAATGAAGAAGAGGAATAGGTAATGCAGTTTTATAAGGAGCATATTCGAGAACCTTCCCTTGCAGAGATTTATTTAAGATGAAGAAAGACCTAGTTACAAACAAACACTTGGAATTTAAAAAAAAAAAATTCCAACAGGTTTGAGTAGAATGCTAGGAGATACGTCTGGAAATAGGAAGGAAAAATGTTGGGTGAAGAACTTGACGGTTAGAATTAAACACTAGAATCCTGCCAAAGAATAGAAAGAATTAAGATATCAGCTAAGGGAGGTAATGTCGCTTTTTTCCGTTAAACGTGCATAGAGGTACTTAGAAATAAAAAAAAAATTAAAAAACCAAAAAAAAACATTTTCGTGATCAAATATCTAAGTTAAGCAATGTGATATTGAATATTAGCATTCTTGAATGACTAGAATTTTTACAAGTATTCAATCTTCACACAAGCTCAAACCGCTTTTAGAAACATCTTCATATTTTTCCTTTTTTTTTTTTTAAATGTAGTATTTTCTTTTTTTAATGGGTTATTGTATTTTAATTTTTTTCCTCCTCAAATAGATAGATAATTGAATTCCCTAAGTTTCTCATTGAAATGCGACTATAAATAAAATGTTTTTATTTACTAATAAATTATGGGTGTTTCCAAAGAGAAAAAAATGCCAACATTAATGCATACGAATTAAGAAACATGAAACAAGAGAATACAGTTTGGAAAAGAAAGATCAACTACTGTCCTGGCCGCCCGCCACCGCCGAGCAAAACAAGATGGCGAACCACTGCCACCACCATCCCCTACTTCTTTCTCTTCTCCCTTATCTTGCTAATATACCCACATATTTATCCACACATGTGTATATATTTGCACTTATGTGTAGAGATGAGAGACCAAAGTGATGTCTGCAGGTAGGGCTTTGTTGAGTGTTCCTCATCCCCAAGCTTATGGATGGACCTGTAAAATGACTGCTCTCATGTTCTCCTCCTCCTCCTCACCCACATGGTCGACATTACAAAATCTTTTTCTATTTTATTTTTAACCTCGCAACTTATTTCTTTGTAGAAAAGTTCACACATGTGGTTATAGCATGCATTATTTTTTTTTTTTACCTAATCGTCATGTTTTATGAGCACAACGTGGTTTTCATGATGTGCTGGTCATAGTCCAATAAAAAAGTAAATGTGTAGAAATATTTCTATCGGTAACATAACTGAATAGTACAAGCAAATAATGTAATTTCATTGTTATCGAATTAATAATTAGATATCGGTCTACACGTCTTGAATTATTTGTAAATATTAAACAAATGACATTTACCATTAACGATGCAAATAAAAATTACATTAGATTTCTAAAGTTAATGAACACAACATTTGATTAAAAAAAGATTAAACTGACTCTTGATTCATATTTTGTTTGTAAAATGTCAAATTAAATACACACTTGTGTTCATTATTTTGGTATTCAACGTTTCTAATATTTATTTATTTATGTTTACTCTTTCTTTAAGTACTAAAAGACACGATCTTTAAGTTGCATTCAGTTTTAATTTCATTGGATTCAACTTTGATGTAAACAAGTGTCGTTAAGGGTCTTACTCTTAAATTATTTCTTTTCCTTCCAAATCAAATGAAGGAAAGAAATAAAACATGAAAAATAGAAGTTTTTAATTGTTTACTCGAATGAGAATTAAAAAAACTAAATATTTCATGGTCAGACCGAAAAGGTCTATTGACTCTATTCACTTTGTTGATGATTCTTAGCTTCACACATGGTCCACTTGTTTTTATCTTAGTTTTACTTTTAATTGATTCCAGTTTTTGTTTTTCATCTTTTCTTAATTCATTAATTATTCGTAGTAGTAACAATTCATTTTAACGGTTTTATTTATTTATTTTTTTTTTTTTTTTTTGCTGCTCTTCCGAAATAAAATAAAAATATTTTTGTAATGACGTATTTATTTATTTATTTTTTTTTTTTTTAAAAAAAAAACAAAACAAAAGGTGGGTAACGATAATCTTTAGTTTTGCTTTAATTTGGTGGTGAAGGGGTCAAGAATTATAGTATGGTTTATAACGAAATAGTGCTTTTTAGGGTGGAAATGAGGTTGAATTTTATTGTTGAGTCAGTGTGTCTTCTTTCCGTTACGGTAATTCTCTATATTCCTCATGTGTTTGTTTGTGTTCCGTTTAGCATCATTCCATGTAGCATGACAACATTCGGTTTTCTTGTGTGTTATTCTCGGTCAGAAATCGATTGAACAGAATGGAAAAAAAAAAAGAAAGAAAGAATGACACTCGTGAACAATGAGTATCGAATAGATTTGATTGACCCATTTTTGTACTGTTTCTACGGATGACCAACAGCGCAGTAACGTGATGAGGGAAAAGATCGGAGTTGTTAGGTTTGGGAAACCTCGATGAATAACATTACTAGTCCTCAGGAATACATGTTAACATAGAATGTACTCTTCGACTAGTGGCCATTTCGAAATAGCCATATCGAAGTACATGAATGAAATGTTTCACCTTGTTGCTACTTTGCGTATCTGTAACATTTAAACTTACTTAAACACTAACAGTAACACATGGGTCATTTGTCAGTCAAATCGTGGTTTTGACATGGTAACATTGTTTTTCAGGAGGTTATATTTCTGAACATTGCCAACTGATTGTTTCATTATCATTTTCATAATTTCTCTTTAAAATATCAGGCTTTTAAATTCCTAAGTAGTAATATCTCTCACAAACATTGTTTGCAAAGTGAAATTTTCGTTTGAAAGGTGACATGACATGAAGAAAAGAAAATGTTTTTTAACTTATAGAGACCGTGACATTAATTTTCGATTTCTTGTCCCCTGTTTTAATGTTACTTTATTTTTTAATTTCATTCCGATGTTAAACTACTTTTTTAATGCATATATTTCCTGAAAAACATCAAAGCTTGACTAGTGTCAGTCAGAAATTTAAATCATTGTTACACGTGGTTTTTCCCCGAACCTGACCTCTAAAATTATTTTGCCACCCACCCTTAAGTTAAAATATGAAAACCTATTTTATATTTGATGCTTTTTAGTTTTTAACTTTTTTTTTTTTTTGCTGCTGTTTGTAATTTGCTTTAAATTTTGGTCTAGCGGATAGTATACTGCTCTTCTTATCGATAAGACAATCAAATTACAATACACTTTCTTTATAAGAAAATAAGTAACGACAAAGAATGCTCGTTTTTTATATATTGTTGCTAGTTGTACTAACTAACAGTAGTACTACTACCACTAAATACATGATCGTGTTTTATGAGAGAGTTGCTCATCTCATCATTATTGGATGGTTTTATATTGTTGGGCATGGGATGAAAATCAGATACATGTGCTCTAGATGTTTTTAAAGAGACTAAGAGTGAGATATGACAAATCGGCTATTCAATTTGAAATTCCGATGTGAGAGCTTCTAAAACAAATTATTGTCTAAATTTAAATTAAAATGAAATAGCAACACCAAACAATAATGAATTAGCGGCTAATTAGCAGGTTCATTTTTTTTGTGTGTTGCTGTGTGATTCACTCCTCCGATAAGTTTTTTTAACATTTTAAAGAAATACTTAGAATAATCTCAGTATTTGCTTTTTAACTTTTTTTTTTTTTGCTTACAAAGAATTTCTTAGGACAAAAACAAAACAATTGTTAAAATTAATACTTAAAAAAAAAAACTCTCATTGTGCAGGGAAAACTAGTGCTGTTAAATACTTTTTTTTTCAACTTCGAAAAAACAGCATTGCCTTTTTAAATTAGTTAGAGAGAGCCACACTTGTCACTAAAAGTATATGAACCCAGTCCAAGAAACTGTGGCGGGAGAAGAGAAAATCTACCAACCAACCTGTTTAACTTAAATAATGGCAATGCTATTGCGTTGTTTGAAAGTCAAAATTCAATATTTGAGATCCATCTGTAAAATATTGATTTATTTTTTCTTTGTTCTTTCCTTTTCTTATTTATGTCCTAATTTCTTCTCTCTGTCCTTGTAAAAGTAAAGAAAGCTCACGCGTTTTGAGAGAACGAAAGTGTCTTTTTAAAAAAAATGCTTTCTGAATTATCTTGACAAATTTAATATTGGATCGTATTTTTCTCAATGGTCGTGCCATGAAGTTTAGTGACACGGCTACTACAAATGTCCCATTTTGGGACCTGCAAATAAAAAGGGCAAAAAAATAAATTTCTATCGATTAACTTTGTGCTCTTTTTAAGTAAATAAATTAAAAATACTATTTTTATCTTGGTGAAATTGACTTTTACTATTTCATCATTGCTGTGTTAGTAATGCTGGAAATGATAAAAAAAAATAAAGTATTAAGAATTTATTTTAACATTCATTAGAGAAGCGTACCTAGGGAAGCGTAAATTACTCAAACTGTATTGTAATGTGTTAGTGTTACTGTTAAATGTTTGTCATTATGTTTTCCGAGTTGTAAATCATTCACAGCGCTAGCTAGATTATGTAGGACATTCACGCTTTTTTTGTGTGTCAAATAAAGAAAATGATTTCTCCGCCAACTTCACTCTCTCTGAAACAAGCAGGCCTTTCCTACCCCCACTCTATTTGCAGTTTCTTCTTTCCCCAAAGACTTTCTTATCCCACTTCTTCGCTCATTTCATTCTCTGCTTTATTTCTTTAAATATACACTACTACTATTCCTTTCCTTACCTTATATTGTGCGTACGTGCGTGTTTTACTTCTGCTTCTTCCTCCTTCCTTCGGCTTTAATTGACTGTTAAAAAAGTTCTTTCTTGCATTCTATTCATTCAACATATTCATTTCATTCACAGAATGCAATTCAGGAATAGTTATAAAAATAATAAAGTTTAAAGAAAGACGGTTGTTAAAAAAAAAGAAGAAAAAATCTTAATGACATATTCAATTAATATTGATTAAATTTAAATAACTAATAGTAAATTTGTTAACTGAATGGTTTCATATGAAAAGCATTTTTTTTCGACGCCAATTTTAAGCTGGCCTCTGAATTTCTAAATACTACAGAAAACAATTTTGTATTTTCTTTTACTTAAAAAGCACTTTAATGTATTCTTTCTCTCTCTTTTTTATTTAACTATTTCCTTCCCCCACCTCATAAAAGCTGTACAACTATTTGGTAGTTCGTAAAATGTTGCCATAATTTGTACTGGTAATATGTGTCACTGGGTTAAGTTTCCGACGTGTTTCTTGCAACCAACTCTTTTTTTTTTTTTTTTTTTTTTTCTCACTTGTATACAGTCCATCCTGGCTAATAGTGCTCACTTACACAAACGCATATATACTATGGACACATACACAAGTACATTTCTCTTGTATGTGTATGTATTTGCATACTTAGTTAAAATAGTACTCTTGTCACTTTCAGCTTTTGAATAGAGAAGCTGCTGCTTCTGTTAAGAAATAAGACGAAAGTAGGTCACAATCTATGGCACTTTTTACTCCATTGCCTAACTAACATCGTCGTTTTTACTCTGTCTATATCTACTTATCTCATTTTTATTCCTTGATAATTCATTCTGTTCTCATTTTTTTTCCAAAGCTCTGTTTTTGTCAATTCTCATCTTTCACACACAATCCTCTTCTATTTATTATTTCCACCTTTTTTTTTTTTTTTTTTTTGAGTTTTTCGTTTATCTTGCTAAATAAAAAGTAAAAACCATACACAGTTCACTGAATAGCAAATAAATGTTTGTTGATTTTAGTCAAGTGTTAATCAATTTTTACCTCTATTATTTGCCTTCCTCTCTGTTTCAGTGCATACCACTACTACGACAACGACTACTATTTTTCATTTATTATTAGCTCTTCTATTGCTGAATAGTTTGGGAAAAGCCACTCATTAAAATTAAAATAGATCTCTTTATTTTTAAATTTTCTTTTGTTTGATATTTAAAAAAAGAAAAGTTTCTTGTTTCGCATCATCTCTTTTTTTTTTTTTTTTTTTAATTTAATTTAAAAAACGGGCCTAAAAACATCTTGGGCCACTTATTTGTTAATAATTTGTTAAAAAATGTAATTTTTTTTCTTCAAACCGCTAAGTTTTATTTTTATTTTTTTTTTATCTTCATTTTTGTTGATGATTATTCATTGGTTTTTTTCCCCATTCCCCAGCTTGCCTTATCAAAGATCAGTTCTGTTAACTTTTCGTTTTCTTTTCTTCCACTCCCCCCCATTTGACCCCAATCTTTTTCTAATTGTAACCTTTTGCTCTTAGAAGAGGAGGCGGACGATGACGCATGTGTGCAGTAAAAAGTTTCTTGTAAATAAAACTGATAAAAGTGCAACAAACCTAGTTTTGACTTACGTCTATTTTGTTTATCTAAGCTTATCATATAATATTTCACTTGCTCTTACTATTATTACGACTACTACTATTATTTTTACTACTATTTTCTTAGCATTTAAAACTGTCAACTATTTGTCCTATATTACAAATTACGTACTTAACTAAAATTTCTTTAGTTTTGATTAGTCAGTGTTATTGTTATTATAATTAGGTTAATTACTAGTAATTAACTACATTCTCGACTATCCTCATCAGTAATTACACAATAGAGAAAGAAAGAGCGTGTTACACTTTAAAAATGTTGCCAAGAGCTAGTTTGGTGAGGTTCATTACTACTCAATCGTAATTTCCCCTCACAAATGTCATATAAAAACATTAGTGCCCACATAAAAATTCTAAATATTTACGTCCTTAGGATATATGAATCAAATCTTTTTATATAAACCACTTAAAAATGTTTACTATTTAACTGGTACTGCTGCAGTTTTTCTAATCTTACTGCTGTTGTTGTTTTTGTTTTGTTTGTTTTTTTTTCCCTCCTTTTTGCTAGTTGTACTATTACTAGTAATAAGAGTGCTATGTTTAGTCGTACTAAATAAGTAATTAGGCAAGTTGTCCACGAGTTAAATACTGCGTTGTAAGAAGTGATCCGATGCAAGTGGTGGTTGAGGCCAGTGGTCATGCTTTGCACTCAACAAGAGCTTCTACCTTCGTTCTTTACATAAATATTTGCCTCAATATTTTCTATGGGATATTTGACTTACCTGCTGCTGCCGCGGCTACTACAAATTCCATATACTTCTTATCATATCCTACTGTGAAAAGGTGATATGACACCTTTTCCCTTAGGTTTTGTTTACATTTGCACTGATTTTTAAATACACTTTGATATCATTGTAGTAAAAAAGGGAAATTGGTTCATTTTTTTGTAATTTCAATCAAAACTTTCATTTGTATCGTTAGTATTCCATGGTTATCATATGACGCTGTTTTACCTTTGATTTGGAATTGATCTGGTCATCCTTGCTTCAGCTGCCTTATGAAATGCTCATAAATTTAAGCAGGTTTTCATCACATGTGAATAAGAAAAGGTGACTCGGTTTTTACCCACTTGACCTTTGAATTTAGTTGGCACGTAACGGTCACTCGTTCTAAAGAAATTAATTTTTCACTATATTTTTAGCAAGATAAATTTTCGTCATTGAATTTAACCACTATTTTATTGAGGGGGATTTTTAATTGTTTCAAAAATTTTCGGTCGACAGATATAATTTTAATTTTATGACAAATCTTGACATAAAAAAAAATAATTTAAAACCTACTGTAAGCACAGAAAAGTTAATTTTATTTTTATAACCCAACTTTATATTAAACTTGCACTAAAAACCATAATGAAAATTTCGGAGATATTTAAATTATTACAAAAAATAACTTAAAATTTTCATTAAAAATATATTTTAAACAATATATACTATTTTATGCGGTATATTCTGTGGTTATGTTTGCAAAATATGAAAGGGTTATCTGGTCTGTACTAATTTAAAACCTTTTAACAAAGCCAAATACGTTTTTTGTGTTGTGTGTTAATGGACACATATGTTTTTAGTTTATGTATTATAAAAATTAGAATTTTTAAGAGTACACTATATGATGGGTTACTAAGAAGTCTGATATAAAAAAAAAAACATTAAAATAATTCTGATAAGTCATTTTTGTTGGATTTTAAGTCATGCCAATAACTGCCAGTAATAGTCACAACTTGGTTTTGCAAGTGACATGTTTGGTATACATGAACCCATTTTATTACTGTCAGTTTCCATGACATGAGGCTTAAAAATTATTTTTCACTAAATCCAAGTACTGTTGATACACAACAGCACTGAGATGTGAGATTTCCACTATTCACACTTATTTTTAGAATTAGGGATAATAAAAAAAAGTCTAATAAAAAAAGATGCAAAAAACAGTGTTAACATTGTCCTGCTTCCTTTTTACCTGGATTCTTGCAAGCATATTTACAAAAAGACATCTGTGTTCCACAAAACACAATCTCCTGTTGACTTTTTCATTACAAATTAAACCCTAATAATCAGTAATTTCAGAATTCTATGGCACCTCCTTTAAATCTCATCAGAAAATTAATGCTATGTAGTATTTCTACCCATTTGTGTATAAAATCTACAAATAATAGATTTCCTGAAATACAGAACTGGATGTGACTTAGAGATTCTATATAGTCATTTTCAATTTCTATAAATGCTGAATACCGTAAACAAAAGAAAAGAGAAAAATACTGAGTTTAAGGAGATGATGCTTGTACCATTTCTATTATACCTACTTGTTTGTAAAGAGAAGAAAAAAAGAAACAATTCTATTTTGACAATGCATATTCTTTATCAAACCCTTTTAAGCAAATTCAGTTTATAAATAAAATTGTTGAAGTTGTTAATCATACCTAAGTAAAATGTACAAATTTATTTTTATTATTTGTAAAGATTAAAGCTACAAAGATTAAAAATGTAATTTTAATTCTTTATAAACACTATTAGTTATCAGTTATGTACCATGCGTGATACATACTTAGGTGATCATGTATCAAAAGGTACATGACTGATGAAGCAGTTTTTTTTTTCTGCAGTAGGTTGCCATTTCTTTCTGTGGTAGACAAGTTGTCATCCAAGGTTATAGAACCTCATCTATGCTACTATTTACCCATAGCTGGGGGGAGAAGAGAATTCATACCCTTTCCCAAGGGTATTAACACATAAGTGAATGTAATGGATTCAACTGGAATTTGAACTTGGCTCTCTAATTCCTCAATTTGAGCCACTATCCATTACACCACCGTCTATATGTACATGTTAAGAGATCATAAAATTATTTGTTCTGAGAAAATATGTCCATGGTTTATGTGTAAAGGCTTTTTTTTTTTTTTTTTTTTTTTTTTTATAGCTTATCAATCTTTTGGGTTATTTAAAGCCAAAACCTATTTCAGATTGTAAGAGATCACTTACAGTACACTGAGTTCTCAAGCAGTGACCTATCAATACTAACCAGGCTCAACACTACTTTGTTGTTCAAACACAGACCAGTGTTTTCAGTGTGATTTCCCCATAAGCTTATATATATATACATTCAGACAAATATCTTCATTTTCATTGTTATCACCTTTCAGCCTTCTTCAGGTATCTAATAATTTTAGTAGCCTTAAGGGACTAGAATTGAATACTTCATTTAATCTACAGAAGGCAGATTGTTGTTTTTAGTTATTTCTGATGCCCATTTCTAGAGATATATTGTCTTTTTTTTCTTTTTTGCTAGCCATTTCAAGGATTGAACTCAGTAGAAACAATGCTTGCAATAAGTGAGTAGGACTAAAAAGAGAATAGGGCAAGGTATCCCTAGGAATAGATAGCAGAACAAAAGCAATTTACCCCCTGTAGAT